CGAGAATTTACTCTCCATCCAATCAAATACCCGGAACACCGCATAAATATGGCGCGGACACGGTCACGCCAAGGTCACGGCAATGCAAGACCAATGACATTGCGCGTGGAAAAAAATCAGACAATTAAAATTCTAGAAAACATCACGGTCACGCTTACGGCACTGAGCTTTTCACAGTCATACGAAAACTGCTCTACACTACACTACACACACTACACCAATGGACTGCCCTACCCTACACTACATTACACTACTACACTTTACATCGCAGCACTGAGCTGTGCTGCACTGCACTACACCCACTAAATTTGCTAACAAGAGTGTGCTATTATGAAAAATAAAATGTTTTTTTAACTTGACGCATCGCTTTCTTCTACAGGTTCGTATAGAAGATGACATCGCCGTAACAGCTGATGGAATGGAATTGTTGTCCTGTGTACCTCGTACAGTGGAAGAGATCGAGGCTCTAATGGCCGAGGGTCGAGATCTGACCCCTCATTTCACTGAACCAGTAGCTTCACAGTAAAACTGACAACAGAACCTCCAAATAATACCAGCAAGATCTTTTCTTTTTATTGTCTTCTGATTTCTAGGAGTTGAGCACATTAGTAGTACATGTAGGAGTGTGGTCATTGAAGTAGAATGAGTTTAATAACAGATATTAGTTACACTCTTTTGCCTTCAAACAACTGTTTCAAGTTGAGGCAGTTGGGTCAATACAATGATATATATACTGGCCCAAATGCAACAATTGTTTGGAGGCATTAGAGTGTAATCTAGTAGCTGCATGCTGATTGGGGGGTTTGATGGCTTGTTATTGGCTATCCTAGTCGTCACAAATGCCATGACTGCAAAAGCAAAACTCCTTTGGGCTTTCTTTGATCTTCATTTAAAAGCACATCAAGCCTACAAGGATAGTAATAGACCTTTCCCGAATTCGCTTGGATGACCACGAAACAATGGTTTGAAGTCGAGACTGAACTTGATTCTTTTACTCATCAAGTTCAACCTCGACTTGAAACCATTGTTCCAAGCGARTTCGGGAATGGTCTATTGTCAGGGCTCGTGTGATTACTATTGTTTCAAACCTAAGGTTCTGTGCTACCTTGATAAACCAAAGACCAAACCTAATATCAATATATCAAATATCTATCCCAACATTTGAGTTTGTAGGGGGAGGAGGGAATGAGAATTTATGAAATAGTGTATTTTTAGAGCTTGATATTAATGTAGTCTCATACGCAGTGCTCGGGTAGGCAGTCGCTACTTAGGTTAGTGGGCGTGACGACACTRATAATAGCGGCTGCGTAGGGGACTAGATATAATGACGCTGTAAAGGCAAATAAAATAAAAAATTTACTTTGAAATTTGACCCTTCCTTCTTAATAGTCACTGAATTCTTTATTTCGTACACAGTCGAGGTTGATTTGATATTCCCGACATATTTTTGCGACACTTATTATTGGGTTTCCTGTGTTAAGTTAGCCACACAGGGATCCCACGTAAACTTCTTAACGAGCATCCATTCAAGATGGCGGCTCTTTCCCCTGTTGTCCGAGAGCCTCCTCTTTTGCTATTTTGTGATACTTTTAGCCACCAAGAAAATGAGGTAAGGCGTCTTAACGTCACATTACGTCCAATAACCTATAAATGCACCGTTTAGAGGTCGTCAAATTAAAAATTACGGCTTGAATTCCTAGAAATTCTGTCATTTTGACACAACAATCACCGTCTTTATGTTTAGCTGCACGTGGGATTTGTCAAACCGTAGCTCCTTAATTGACAATTTTAAGAATTTTATAAGGTTTAATTTAAAGCTTTACGATAAGCAAGAGGTAATAGTTGGTTTAACTGCTAATATCGTGATCCTGACCAAGTCAAAAACGCAAAATTATGTAGAGCAAAAACACTTATTTATAAACGTTCAAATGAGTTTCTTGAAAAACAGTCGAAATTATCCTATAAAATAAGAAAGTCCGAGAGGAATAAAATGTAATAAAATTCAGCAAACTTCGCCTAAAGRTTCACTTTATGTGTTACCTGGGCCATGAGTATAATACTTTATTACCAATTACAATTGACAAGATACAAAGTTACATGTAACTAATCATAATTTTGGAGAATCAAAACTTTAGCCAACCAGGAGAGCATTTATAACTTATTTTCATAACCTTGTAATTAGCTCTCCTAGTGTGGTCTTAACTGTTTTAGGAGTACCTTCATTAAAGATAATTAGAGAGAGAGCAGAATCAGAAGCATTTTGACTTCAGCCAGTGAGTCTAGGGATGGCAGAACACTTTTAAATGTGTGTGAGTGTGGAAGGGGAGGGGGGTAATCTCTGTTTCTTTTCATAATGGAACTCAAATTAAGAAAAAAGAATAGGTCATTGCAATCATGTTGCTTCATTCCCATGGAGTTTTCCTTACTTTGAAGACCCCGCTTACACAATGTGTTATTAAAGTATCGAAAGGTTGATCTAAGACAGATCTTTCTTGTTCTCAGGAAATGCATTTGGACCTGGTTAGTTTTCCTCGTCCAGTCTCCATTGAGGAAGTCAGGGTGATTCCTGCCGGTCACCGTGTGCATGCGGCCATCAGTGACAGAGAGAAAGTTGGGTAAGATATAGAATGATCTATAAAATTCTTTTAATTTCTGTCGAGTATAAAAAWAAGTTGTTACCAATAATTCAATAATATCTGAGTGGTTTTGGTACTAGTGGGAAACAATGTGACAAATATTTGTAGCCACACTGTTAGGTAGCCATTGAGACTACAAGTTGTGGCTGGATAAATTACTGAAAGTCAATTAGAAGCCATTTCAGTATCAGCACAAGTTTGGTGTAAGACAGTACTGTATGTTGTCCGGCTCGTACCAAAAAACTGCTCTAATCCTTGATGGTTTTTCTCTTTTCCAGAGAAACCCATCCACCTTCATTTAAACTGGACATGTTCATCAGAAATCTTGATAACCCAGGAGCTGTGGTGTTCGAAAGGCTTGGAGTGTAAGTGTCCACTTTTGGCATGCACCTATGAATGTTGAAGGCCCATGATGTGTGGGAGGGATGTGGGGTGACTGGTACTGTAGATACAAAGGAACATGTTCAGCAGAAACTCAGGAGCTGTCGTATTTGAAAGGCTTGGAGTATAAGTGTGTACTATTTACCTGTCAAGTGCCCCAGAGAGGGTATAGCATATAGATTCAGGAGTGACTCATTGCCCAGTTCTCTATATATTTCACATCAGTGACCATATCAAACTGTGTGGAGGGCAGTTTTTACACTTTTTTTACTAATGCCATTGAATCCTTTCCTGCCAAGATTTTCCATCAATTAAAAGACTTTTTTCAAAAGTGTCAGCGCTAGCCAGCAAGGGGACAAAAATAGGTATCACCTAGGCAAGTTCCTAGCCATTTATTTAGGTTTTTGTTGCAAAGAGTACTAAATAATATTAAATATTTGTGGTCATGCTGAGTGAGTTCATGTGCAAATGCATACAAATTCTCACTGTCTGATAGGCTAACTAGTAAAAAAAAAAAGTTGCAGTTGGACATGGTTAGGTGAGTCGCACATTTTTGATCTATTGTGACGATTTGATTTCTTATTAAAATATTGTTTTCTTTTAGTTTGGACTACAAGGAACCCAATAATTTTCAGATTACTGCCTCTGTCAAGGTATGCATTAAGTTATCAAATGTACAGGGGAATTTCAAGAATATTGCATCTCTTAATAGATCTCTTTACATTGGGCCGCACAATGTTTTCCTATTTCAGAGCACTTGTCATTCCCTAGAGTATTATTTATTTGTTTAATGGTAGCACATGAGAAGACACATGAATATGGATACAATCCAAACAAAGGATCTTATTCTCAAGAGAACAATGTGTGGTCTGAAGTGGGAAACCATTACGCCCAAGATAAAGATGTCTATTGCAATTCATGGACACATGGCTAACATAAAGTCTTTAATTTAAAACATTCCCTAAGCAGATTTCTATTTTCAGGCTGCAACAGATGTGGTAGTTCTGCGAGGCTGGTACACCAGTATCACCATATCTCTCTATGGATACTTTACAGAACTTTCTAGAACAACAGTCCAAGATGTAAGACAAGAGCCACACCCAGACAGACCATCAGTCATCATGGAACAAAGACAAGATAGAGGACCTGAAGATCTTGAGAAACCACCTGAAAGACCTGAACGAGGGTACCAAAGAACCTATGAAAGATCTCATGAGAGGGGTTACCTTGAGAAAGGGTTAGATAGAAATGAACGCTATGAAAGATCCTTTGAGCGAGGTCTTTTTGAAAGAGGGTTGGAGAGAACAGAAAGGAGTTCCAGAGGTTCAGAACCAAGAGATGAGTATGAAGGAAGAAGAATAGATGATGAGGTAAGACCCAGAGATGATGAGCGAGCAAGATCACTATCTAGAAAACCAGATATTGATTCTCGGGCAAGGATGTTAGAAGATGAAAGAGGAAGAAGTATTGGAGGTTCCTCATCAGATGATGGGCGAAAAGCACGAGGAAGGGGTCCAGATGATCTGAGACCAAGAAAGCTTGACAGTGAAGGAAGGAGCAGAAGGTATCTTGATGAGGAGGAACGTGTAAGAGGAAGGAGTAAAGACAGGACTCCAGTCAAGTCACCACCTCCTAAAAAGAGGTTGTCTAGGGAATCTCCATCCAAGGTTACGGCAACTGTTGGTGAGAGTACGGCTGATAAGCCAACCACTCCTCCTGGCTCACCTAGGGAAGAGGTAAGATACATTACTAAAAGATACACTCAACATTCTGAATTATTAGTATTTGAATATTAATCTGCATGCAGCCAGAATCTAACTCCAGTTAAGATGTCTTAACCTGAGTCAATTAGCAGTTGTCTATAGTCCATGAGCTGAGACCCCAATTGGTACAAAATTAGCAGTTGTCCAAGTGCTGTCACCCCTTTCAGTTTATTTTTTGTAGTGTTTGTTGAAGGGAGGGAAGGGTAGGAAATAATAAAATAAGGAGAGCAACAGCGGGACGGGGGAGTGAAGTGGGACAATGGTAAAACATTTGAAGTGTGTCATATACTACTGTTCCAGCTTTGCAGGTTTTAACTGAACATTAGCACATATTATGGATGCATGCAATCAAGCCTTGTATCRACCCAATAGCCTCACTTGTATGATTCTTAAAAYGAAAGAATATCTCATTGTGGTCTCACATGTTATTGTAACAGCTACAGTATAGACCCCTTGCAGTAGGTCAGAATACAACTCAATTCGGAGGACATAACAGTAGGTTTCCAATTCTCATGAGCTTAAAATTCTTTTGCCTTGTCCTCCAAATTGAGCTGCTTTTATGTCACATGTAAGGGGTCAGCGTATTGAACTGATAATGCTAGTCAGTGGCCTTTCAGACAATTAAGTTAGCGGAGAATACCATTTTAATTTCATGTTTTGTTATTACAGGCTGAAGAAACCAACTCTAGGTCAGGGTCGCCTTCCGATGACCTGTTTGAACCACTCACYCCAGACCACTCCCCCTCAAATATGTTTTTGTCAGATGAATGTGTGGATGATGAGGAGCAGGTAAGTTCTAAATTACACTCAACTTTGATTAATATTTTATTTACTTATAACTCATAATTTAGTAAAATTATATTTCCTTTATTATTCCAGGATGCTTATGAAGAAATTCTTAGTGATGAAGAGGTTTGTATCGTAAGGGCTATTGTAAAGGATCAAGGGCTGGTACACTGCTAATGTGTCGTCTTTCACCACTGTGTGGCACCAAAGGTTCATGTCACTGGTTTGAGCCCTGTGGATACCATATGTGAATTGAGTGTGTTTGATGTGTTGTTCTCTCCTATGCTACTTTTCTCTGGGTTTTCCAGTTTCCTTCCTCCAAACAAATCTACATGTGAGTTGAGCGTTGTGTGCTTAGAACATTGAATGTAGTGGTAGCGTATGTGCGTAAAAAGTGTCCCCAATTAGTGCGAAACCACTAGAACAACTAGACACTTAAATGAAGAGATTTCTCTTATTATTTAGTAACATCACTATATTTTTCAACCTGGATATCTCAACTTCTCCAGAGGTTTAAGTTAATTCAATTCCACTGTAGATTTGATGGTATGTTTAATTGTCTTGTATCTCATTTTCAGGACATGGCACTTGACGAAGGTGGTCTAGATGAAACAGTGAGTATCATAAACATCCTTTTAATATTGTATAGTCCATGTGTATCAATAAATATACCTTCTGGGCTTCCCCATTTAGAGCCATGGTAGCATACTCCCAATGCAGTCAAATGTATTAAGAAAGAATAGGAGAACAACCCTCAAATAGCTCTAACTTGAGTGATAAAACAGATGCCTTGTTGCCATTTCCAGTGCAACTCAATTTGGAGAACAAAATATGACTTGTCATCTTCGACATGTTTACTTGCCATATTTAAAAAAAATATTATTTATCTTATTTTCAGTCTGTTCAATTTGACCTTGACTTGTACAGTGAAGATGCTTGGATGTCTGTATCAGTCAGTTTTAATCCCTATCAGTGTGACCTCTCACCTCTGACAGTAAGTATTCCCTATCTTGTACACCTGTTATTTGTACAGTGAGGTGCTTGGATGTCTGTATCAGTCAGTTTAATCCCTAT